TTGTGGTCAAATGATCATGCCAATCAATTTTGTGTCTACAGTTTATTTGTTTTCGTAGAATGCCCTTGTTAACGGTAGAAAGTATGTATTTGACATGAAAAATTTAGTAGCCAAAAGTTGAGGGTCATGTGTGATGTGTATCGAATTGCAATAGCAGGGATTCTTATTTAATATTTGGCTTCAATTTTTATTTTATATTTTTAAGCAGAATATATGAATTCAGTTTGTCATTTTGTCTCTATATCTGTATTTTCAATGTAAAATGAGCTAATAACATAACTGTTGTTTCGGCATTCATACCATCTTATATAATAGTATAATGTCATCACTTAAGTTTTATTCATTCTCAACAGTGAAATTTTAAAGATTATTTTGATTTTTACGAGAACGAAATTTTCAGACGGGGGTTATATCTTCTATTGTGAACACATGCAATCTGGAATTTCTTGCATGATTAGGAAAAAGTGTATAAAAGTGTATTCATATATTAAGCAAATATATAGCTTTGTAATGTCGTGGCACGAGTTTCGAGAACCGTAAATTGAAGATCAACTTTGGTTATGAAATTGAATTGGTCATAAAACTGAAGATCCAGAGAAGGCCCAAACCATTGAGGAGTCCGGCTAAGAAGTGTTTTGCATGAAGGTGGGAGACCAAAGTCTTGCACCCCTATAAAAAGAATGACTTACGATAAGGTAAAGGTCACGTTCAGTAAGGGCCGTCTCCAGAAATTTGGAGGCTCTAGACAAGTTTGTCTTTTTTGAATTTCTCAATTTGAACTTACGTGGTAATTAGACTATTTGCAGATAGAATCATAGAATAAACAAACCTAATTAAAAAAGACTATTAAATAAATAAATAAATAAATAATTGAAAAAAAATAAATTTTCTTGTTTTTCTAGACTTTGGAATTGATAAATTACCTATAAGTTACAAAGATCTTTAATAATTTACATTCAAGCAGTCATTAGAACTACAAGGAGAAGAAAATAAAAACTATATCACTGCAAAGAATATTTATTTGCATACAATTGTTCTAACCGAACATCATAAGAAAACAAATGAAATATTTAGGACCTCAAATTTCTACACAAAATATATATTTTGTCATTAACTCATTCATTAATTAGTCCATTCATTTGTATAATGGGCCAACTCATCACAAATACATAATATTAAAAAAAAAATGGGGCCCCAAATATAAGGGGAGACCCTAGGCATGGGCCTAGGCTGCCTCCCCAAGGAGCCGACCCTGCATTCAGTACTACGCTCTCAGATTACTCGATAGCTGCTACCTAAACATCCTATTGAAGATTTTATTTTGAAATCAACTTTAGAAGTAACTCTAAATTTTAATTATTTAATTTTTATATGCTTTAAAAAAACCAACATTCATCAATATTTCCTCATATTAAAGATTTTATTTTGAAATCAACTTTACAAGTAACTCTAAATTTTAGTTAAGACTAAATTTGTGGAACTAATATTAAAATTTTAAAATTCAAACAAAATATAATATAGTTTTTTCTTTAAAAAATATACTTTAACCTTTCATACCATTTTAAATAATTTTTTTTTTTTATAACAGCCAATAAATTAACTTAAATATTGATGGGTCAATACGTGATGACAAATCTAAGGCTCTTTTCTTTCCAAATATGCTCTAGAGTCTAAGGTTGAGCACGGGACTCTGAGAATTTTGAACTGTTTCGAAAATCGAACNTATTATTATTATGCATATAAAATTAAAATACTAGGTAGTCATTAAAAAAAAATTTAAAAGCATAAAAAATATCCGAAGATCCGAACCGAACCATACCGAACCGAACTGTTCTGATAGTCCCGAATACTGAATCGAACCGAACCAAACCGAGAAATAAAAATCTCCGAACCAAACCGTCTCGATTTTTTGGTACGGTTCTGGAGATCGAATTTTGTGATCTTCGAATTTTGGTACAGTTCCGGAGATTTCTCAATCTCTGAACCGTACCGACCCATGCTTACCCTATCAGAGTCACACATCAGCAAAGGTATCATCGGACTAACGTTAGGTAACATTTTGCATTATAAATTGGCGCTATATGCGGGACTCAACCACTTAGTCAGAGGACTCATGGCGGCATGAAAACCGAAAATAGTTGAAGTACATGAAGCCTATATAAAAGACAATAAAGTAATTATCATGCACATCCATAATTAACAACAATGAAATAGGAAATAAAATCCAACTATTATGGTCATTAATTACGTAGTCCAATCTTCACATCGAAATTACTTGTCCTAGTTGAATTGTTGATTTCGACCCCGATCATGGATTCCTAAAATTCTGGTCAAGCACTACCGTTGTCCGTCCATCATCTCCGCCGGCGGGTTGTTGGCGCTAAAAGTTTGTCGTCGCCGATCGTCAGTCGTCGTGCAACGCGCATTGCTTGGCCGCCATACGTGTTGTCACTTGGTAATCTTGCAGCGGGCTCGCGCGTCATACAACCTCAGCAGTGAGATGCCGCCTAGCCGCGCCCTTGCGCTAGCCTATCACCTCTCAATAGCACTTGCACACGCTGCTGTAGACGAGCCGCCCGCAGATACCAGCGCGTACCGATGCTTGAGGGACAATGTAGAATGTATGGACAATGTAATTAGAAGGAAGTTATAGTCAAGTAAATCTGTAATATATTACGTGCATGCGGCCATTTACTAGTGAAAGAATTTTAAGCAAGAATGGATGCTTTCTAAAAATAATTATTTAATCACCTTTTAATTTTATTTCGTGTTATTACGTAAAAGTCACTTCACATACTTTACAAATAATATAAATAAAAATATAATATTTGGTAGTATAATTATATATTTTTATTAAAAGAAATTAACAAGCACTCACGCAAAAATTTATCGAGTCAACGGAGTTGTGAGAGGAACATTCGGATTGACCCAGCACACCACGCCTATAGCATTTCCTCCATTAAAGCTCTTCAGCTCGAATTAGAACTATTATAGTTCTAATTGAATACCTGAATCTAGTCCCATTAAGATATCATTTCAGAAAATGCATGATTTCTGCTTCACGATCCCATATGGGATCCTCCTGGTGGCCGGCGGTGTGATCGGATACGTTAAGAAAGGCAGCGCAGCTTCACTCGGTGGTGGCGCCGGCACCGGATTGCTGCTCATCCTCGCCGGATACCTCAGCCTTCAAGCCTATCACAAGCGCAGAAACTCCTATTTTGCTCTGTTTCTCGAGTTAGGTGCGTATCCACTCCTTCTGATTGCTCGCAGTTTATCGCTTCTTTTTTTCCCCAAAGAATAATAGAATGCGCGCGATTATGTAGCTAAGAGTGATTGTTCAATTTTTTGCTTTCTCGATTGGATCCGTGTGGATATATTGTGTACCGTGTAGATGGTATGCTGGTTTCTGGTAATTTGGATGAAATAGGATTAAACCATTGAAGTTACGGATTTAGCATGTTGATACTTGACTTTTCATGTGCAAATGTTGTTTTAAGGGCATCGTGTTATGTCAGTGAAGACGGGGAAGAAAACGAACAGTATTTGTGGCCATTTCTTTTATTCCTTGGTGTTTGCATAGCCGATTTCATGGGAAACCTCGTATCCCCCAAATCCTGAAGCTATAATCATATTAATGGGAATAGCGCATTCTCATTGGAAAGTTTTTGTGTGCGTTAGTTGGCAGCTGAAACTATTTGGAGGAAAAAATATAGGATCTCGATCCATTGAAAATCTTCACTGTAAATAATTTAGATATCTTAACTTACATAGATAATTTGGTTGGCAGATAATTTTGTATGGGTTCATGTTATCTTAATATATCGCCATGGCCCTGTTTGGATCTTAGCGGGTTGATTAAAATGAACGGATTGAAACTCATTTAGAGGTTTGACCGCTAATTAGTTTGTTTGATAAAGAGCTTATTTGGTCAGCTTTTTAGCTCAAGTTGCTAATTCTGAAAAATCTTAATATAGGAGTTGTTTTGAGAAGAGAAGATTCGTCGAATAACATGTCAACATAAAATTTCCGAAATAGCTAATCCACTATTTACGAAACAATTATTTACAAAAAGTTAATACAATCCTCTAGTGAGATTCGCTAGCAGCTATCCCCTAACACCATTTGCTATCCGCTAATAGCCAAATAGATGTGTATGTACTTTTCTGAACCTTAAATATCAGGAGATCAGTTTAAGCAAACTTCCTAGTGATCCTAATTTATTGTGATGCACATTTCAACTCCAGTCGACTAGAAAGCCAGTCATCATTTATTCTTTCATGGTCTTTCATTCTTGTGAGAAAATAACTGAGATTCTATTTCAAATAGAAGTTGTTCATATCAGTTCAAGTATCCATTTACATTTTGCCAGTTCTTAAACTGAATTTGGTTATGCCAGAAAAAATTGTTAAAATTATTCATTTCTATTTAACTTCAATTTAACATATGTTTTATTATGTATTTTCTGAAATACTACAACATCTACTGATCCGACTGATGTTCCTTCCAACAGCTGTTGCTGCCATGCTAACATATGTCATGGGACAACGGTACATGAAGACTGGAAAAATAATGCCAGCTGGTATAGTTGCTGGGATCAGGTAAAGATAGAGTAAACCTGCTTTATAGTTCTGGAAAATGGATGCATTTATCATTCTGAGTTCTGTCCCAGTATCATTCTACATGTTCCTGAATGTTGATATTTATATAATGGAAGTTCATACTTCATACCTTAAATTCTGTTGTATCTGCAGAAACGTTTTATTAGGTAATACAATTTGGTGTGTTCCTTTGTTCCACCTGACGTACTAAAAAAATACAGTGTAAGAGTGATTTTTGTATCCTCATTTCATATGATGCAGCGCCTACCAGCCCTCTTACTCTACCTTCTTTCAAAGAGTAGTTCTTCATTTTTCTGTTTCGTTAGAAACTTCTCCTTTAAGTTTGCATTGTTAAAAAATTTTTGGAGAAAAACTTTTACTCATGACCTATTAAAAGCATAGTCTATTAAGATTTACTTAAGGATCATATACTTTTGGTAAGTGTGTATGCTTTAAATACTTAGTGCTCTCGACACACACACATACATTTTTCATCATCTATCGTTCAAGCCTTGAGAATCCTTGTTGCTATCGATTTATCCTCGTTCACTGTATTTTTCAATATATTAACTTACACTCCTATAACTCACTTACTCTAGTTAAACTTATTCACTCAACAATTACCAGAATATCACTCACATTCTGATGAAGGGTCATGTAGGAACTATAATTTTTGCATGGTGAATTTCTTCGTAAAATAGCAATCGACCATCAGAATTTGCAGAGAACTATTTTTAGAAAGCATGGGTTTGAAAGTTGCATGCAGCCTATTTTTCCACTGTCAGTAATCTTCTTAGAGGTAAATGACATGGAAATCAACTGTCGTGAACTCTAGGATTTCTGTTTTTGTAACCCTCTTGATATTCTGTTTAGATGAGAATCATCTTAAAAAGTAGAGCACAACTGATGCTTAAAATATTGCAACTCTTTTCAGTTGTATTACTGTGATCGAGAGTTTACTTTTGTCTTTTGAGTTGGCGGATATTTTTTTCTAACATTATGTTACTTTCTAGTCAATAGTCTATTAATTTGATCTCACAATTTACTGCAAATTTTGCTATCTTTTTGTTTTGTGCAGTGTGGTGATGGCTGTGTTCTATCTTTACAAGATTGCAACTGGTGGGAATCATATTCCTCCAAAAACCGAGTAATATTGGATTCTTTTTGTGCTGATATCATGGATTTTATGAAGACTGAGGTTAAAAGGTTTTGTTGTTGTGGTTAAAATACATCGTCTAAAAAAGAACGGCGTTTCTTGCTCCGCAATTGATATTGACGTGCTAATTGTAGCCAGAGCATGTAATTCTCAATATACTTGTAGTTCTCAATATACTCGAGCTTGCTTTAAACTTTTGAACTTCTCAACTCCAAATCATACACGTGCTTCAAATTTTACCTATTTTATTATATATTATACATTTCTCATGTGTTTAGTCTTTATATACCATAGCATGTAGCACCCAAAATAGCTCGGTGGATTCACCTGAGTGGTTAGCTCGAGAAAGGCGGTTCAAAGGAACCTACGTTCGATAATGGCATTTGACCTAGTCAAGGAGCTCGCTTATGCAGCTCAAAGTATAGGTTGACTTGATCGGATGGTTTGGAGGTCGTACTCCTCCAATAGCTGGGTGAGATGAGACCGCATAGGTCGAAGGTCGGGAGAATGCATGTCGTGGTAACGACCTTGTTGACCTAATAACTCGGAGGTCATAAGAAAGAAGATCGTGGTTGCAACCTGGTTTGAGCTAATGACAAGTGAGTCACGAGATGAGAGTTGTGACCCAAGGATTGAGTGTCGTATGGAAAGAGGGGATGGAATCCTTAATGATGGAAAGCGTATCTTGTTAATGAGTATCAGAACTTAAGAAACGTGATAAACTAGGAAAGTGGATCTGAATAGATCTCTTTCCTATTCAAGACTCTCTTGTGACCCAAGGACTTGAGTCTTGTATTGATCCTCTATTGCTCGAATGCGATCTGCTAAGTTCTCCATGTAGGCATTTAGACAAGCACATCGGGGTGCGGTTTCTTCCTCTGGAGCTGATTGGGATGTTACAAAAGCAAGAATCAGGTTGAGCTTCTCATTATACTCTGAGGATCTGTCACAAAACTCATACCACTGCTTGACCGGGACTGAATCCTATCGCTGCTCGTAAGGATATGGATATGATTGGGCGTAGCGCCAGGAGTGATAGCTCAGCTCGTTATTCCAAGAAGGAGAATGCGGAAAGGAGAACACACGGTATGGGTTAATTGATCTCCTCGGGCAAAATTATCTGCACACAAGAACAAGACAACCACACGCAGCCACGAAGAACAAAGAGGGAAACAAAATAAAGATAAAGACAAAAAGCAATAAAAGAATACAAACGCACAAGAAACACGGAAATCATAAAATAGAGAGAAACACAAAAAAAAAAAATAATCAACATCAAAATTAAATATCCTACTTGCTTTCCCCGGCAACGGTACCAAATTTGTTGTAGCAAATTATATTATTTTTACCGAGTATCGAATCGAACGATTCGTTCCCCGAGTCGATCTCTCGAGGAAGGTTGATCGGAATATCTTGCTCGTATATTCAAACAAAAAAGAGAAAAACAATTTCTAAACACTATAATTCAAAGATTGGTTCTGATTATTATCTAGGAATATCAGAAAACGTAAAATCAGAATTCAACTTAAGAACAAGAATCAATTGAAGAAAAACGAGTCTGGAGTTTGATTTCAATCTCTTTGTTTCCAACAATCTAAGCATGGGAGGAAAAGAAAAATGGAGAAATAATCCTAAAAAACTATTTACAAATCAATTATGTAAGTGTCACCCTCTGAGATCGAATCATGTTTCTAAGGGAGAAAAATTGAGGAAAAAAAAAAAAAATGGAAGCATTCTGTTAACGTTGTGCACTAATCCCAATAAAATAGCTCTCCAAAAACGGCCCATGTTTGTCCCATTTTTGTTGTGTTTTTCCTTGTTATTTTTTATTTTTTTTCCCCCATGTTAGGTCTTTTCGTTGGTTTTTAGTCGTTTTATAGTTTTTCGCGTGTTTTCATCTATTTGGAGTCATTTCAGTGTTTTTGGTTTGATTTTCTGTTTTCTCCGTTTTTCTTGTCGTTTTATGTGTGCAGATCGGGAGTCTCTGGAGGATAGGATTTCAAGAAAACATTAGTCAGGCAAGCGTAATTAAATAGAGGAGTTCGTTGGCAAAACACAGGAAAAAGCGGAATCAAATTCTGAGTCCAAACGAACCCAAACGAGCCCGAGAAGTGAAGTCGTGCACATAAGCTAGCAGCTCGCCCAGGTCTCACGCCGCGGCACCGTACCGTCCCGCGCCGCGCCAGCACCACGACCCCGACTGAGGCTCTTGCTTGCCCAGCGCCGTGCCGTGCCACTCCCTCCGCGCCGCGGCAGTCATCTTTCCCCGCGCCGCGGCACACCCATCTCCCACGCCGTGTGAAGCCCCGCGCCATAAAGCAGCCTCTTGCCACGCTGTGACAATGCCTACTCTGTCCCCGTGATGCTCCCCACGCTAACCTGCCGCGCCGCGATGCGCCCTTCCCCGCGCCGCGATGCGCCCTTCCCTGCGCCGTGATGCGCTCGTCTATAAATACATGTACGGGGCTTCCATTGAGAACTCTCTCTCGAGCGGGTGAAAACCTTAGGTCCCGAGAAAACACAAAACTCTCTTTCTCCTTCCTTCTTTCTTCTTCTTCTTCGTTCCTCTTCCTCTCTTAATCGGTATCTTCTATTTTTGTTTTTCTTTTTCTTCTTCATAATTAAGGATTAAGCTTGTATTTTGGATTCAACACTTGAATTTGAATTGGGTGTAAGTTCTTTCTCTATTTAACTCATGAATAATGGTTGATTTGGGAGAGATGATTATTGGTGTTGAATTTACTTTACGTAGCTAATTCTTATTGATAGGGATAGGGGATGATTGTTCTTGTTTTAACGTGTATTTGTCGGGCCTTGAATTGTTCGTTCTTATGTGAGTTGATTTGATTCGGAATTGTTGAAATTATGCTTGATAGTTTGATGTAATCGAAGGGTGACACTTCGATCTTGCAATTGGTAACAATTGGATATTGAGATGTCGAGTTTGGTTTTATTGATTCTCGATGATTAGTTGATTAAACACTTTCTAATTGAATTAGCGGCTGTTAGAATCGAAAGGGGAGAAGTCGTAGACCTAGGCTCGCATGAGGTAGATAATTTCGTAATTGAATAGTCTATAGTTTTGGATTGAAATACGTGCTTGTCAATGACCCGTCCCTTGTTACGAAAAGTTATTGGGGTTGGATAATTGACCTGTATTGTATGCTCGAGCTTGTTCGTCTATGTTCAATCCCTTGTTACGAAGAGTTATTGGGAGCGAACCGCTAGATGTTTAAGCGAGAGTGTCAATCTGGAATAGAAAGATTAATTGCCCGGTTTTGTTAAGAACTTGAATAAATTATCCCCGACTCCCTAGCTTCTTCATCTTTATTCGTTTATATTTTTAAGTAGATTATTGTTTTATTTTATTTCTTATTTAATAATTCATCCAAACTGCTATCTGATTAGAGTGTTTAGGATTTATTTTCTTTTTGTGTGTTATCGATACCAAAGTTAAATCCCGAACCGCTTTCCTCGAGAGATCGACCCGGGGAACGAATCTTTCGATTCGATACTCGAAAAAATAATAATGTGTGCTACAACAGCCTAAAAACTTGAATTTCAAAAACTGGTCGCGACGACTCGTGGGCCGCAGAAACTATTGCTCCTGGGTCGCGGAACGACCGCGGGGCGCAGATGTTGGGCGCACTGGGAAGATTTAGGATCTGAAATTTCCGTGGGCTGCGGAAATTGTTGATCGCGGGACGGCCACGGGGCGCGGATGCTGTGCGCGGCTGCGGGCCACGGGCTCATACGTGCTCATCCAAACTCGAAATTGAGTTTCACTTTTTCCTACTCGACGCCAACGAACCCTTCTACATAAATGTTCTTGCACCACTGGGATGACCACTTTCTCCTAGGATTGGTTAAATTTCTAAACACCTGGTCGAAGTTCCAAACTTACACACCTCCAAAGACGAGAAAAACAAAAGAACACGAGATAAACAAGAGAAACTAAAATAAAATAACGGGAAATGACCATGTGGACAAAAAAAGCACAACAAAAATGGGACAAACACACATCTACCTAAGCATTCATTTTCATAGATTAGATGAAAATAAAAACTTACGATTGATAAAGAAATCGAATGTTGAATCTGACGTGCAAACTTAATCCAAAGAATAAAGAAGAAATCAAGATGAAATCCGCGTGTCATATTCAAGTTCTAGAGGAAATTTGAAGAAAAACAAGTATGTAATGGATCTTTTTGCCGTAGGCACGATTCCCATTAAATATGGATTCAAAAACGGGACAAAATTCCGTCCAAAATCATATTTTGAAAACTGAGGTCGCAGACGCAATGAGTCTAGGGCCGCAGGCGCGATACTGGGCAGTCCTAGTACGCCTGCCAGGGTACCGCGGGCGCGACCTGTGTCGAGGGCGTGATGCTGAAATTGGGGCTGCGTAAGCGCGCGACAGGCAGTCACGCGCGCGACGTTTCACGCGACGTGTGCAGATGTCTGGGTTCTCCACGGGGCTTGCACGAGTCTCCTCAGGAGTGCGCGGACGGGCGCGAGGTCGACGCGGGCGTGCATGGGGTCTGCTCGGGAGTGCTGGGCGTCAGGTGTGCGCCTGTGCGTCACGGGTTCGTACGTGTTTATTCGGGCTCGAAATCGAGTCATGTTTTTCCTACTTGTAGCCAACGAACCCTTTTACATAATTTAACTCGCACGACCGTTTTTACTTTGAAATAATATCCGCCTGAAGCTCCTGATCTGCACACAAAAAACGACACGAACAAAACCGAGAAACACAAATGAAAACACAGAGAAACCCAAAATAAAGAAAAATACGCAACAAACCAAAAAACTGATTAAAAACCATAGAAAAGACCTCAAAACCGGGAAAAAAGAAAGGCAAAACAATAACGAAAAACGCAATAAAAATAGAACAAACAAGTACTGACTTGAGCGTCGCAAGTTTTTCGTCGGGACTCTGCCCCGGCATATTGCAGGTCACCGCAGCTCGAGGTCAACATAAGTTCGTCGGGATAACCCCTAGTACGTGAAAGACCTCAGACCAATTAGAAATCAGCCTGTTACGAGCTTCCTCGCCGGTTGAACACATTTAGACCTATAGGGCAGGGTTGGTCGTACAATCAACCAGAAAGAAGAACACTTAGACTCAGAACAGACAACACACTACCTCAGGCTACCTCGAGTTGGTCGCACCGTTAGGCGGTCTAATATGAAAGACTAAATGATAAGAAGAAATATTAAGGGGTTAAGAGCCACACGTGGATAAGGCCATGACTTGACAAAATTGGGCAGTTCAGGCAGATTGGTCAGATCGGGTAGTTCGGGTTGTACTATCGGGTTTGGTTTTCAGAGCTCAGGCTGAAGAACGCCTTGTGAGGTTGCCGGTCTGAAATGCGGTTCGAGAGAATTCGTGTATCA